CTCCGCACGCACCCGCCCGGCAGCAGTCACCATTTTTTTTGTTTTTGTTTTTTGAGAAGATATATCGGATAAGAAGGCATGAAAGTCCCTCCAAGTCCTTCCAGGCTCAGCCCTTCTCCAGTTCTCACTTGAGCGAGTGTCCCACTCCTCCGCGTCGCCGTCCCTTCACTTCCTCCGGTCCTTCTGCTTCCGCTCCTGCCGCCGGGCCTGCTGCTCGGCCACGGCGCGGGGTATCAAGATGACGCTGCCGTCGCTGGCGTACTGCAGGGCGTACTGGCTGGGGGAGTAGGGCTGGCCGTTCTCGTCCCGCAGCCGGCCAAACACTTCTTGGTAGAGGTTCTGCACCTTTTGCTTCATCTGGCGGATGGATTTGAGGAACTCCACCTTCTCCCTGAGCAGTTTGGACTTGTCCCGCTGCAAGTCCTCGACGTCCCGTTCCAAGTTGAGGATGGTGTCCAGCTTCCTCTTGCGGCAGTTCTGGGCGGCCATCTTGTTCTTGCCTCGCCTCCGGATGTCACGGATCAGGCTGAGCTGCGCCTCGCTGAGCTGGTACTTGGAGAGGAGCTCGTTGAACTCCTCCACGGGCAGGTTGATGATCTTGTCGTTGGTGAAGGGGATCTTCATCGCCCTGGCGCGATGCTCGTCCCTGCTCATCTGCTTATCCAGGAACTCGGACGGCTTCTCCTTGCTGCTCTTCTTCCCCGCGCCGGGCGGTTTGGGCTCCTCGGGATCCAGGGCCCCCGGCGCCATGTTGTAGGTGTGGTTGTGGCCAACGTGCTCCAGGTAAGGCAAGTAGTGGAGCTGCGACGGGTCCTGGTAGCTCATGCGGCAGAACTTGCTGTACTCTGGCTGGTATCCAACCGCCCCTTCCGCTTCTTCAAAGTCCACGTTTTCAGAGTCTGAGCTGTAGCCGACGGCTCCTTCCTCCGAAAACGAGGAGGAGGAAGAGGACGAGGACGAAGAGGAGGAGGAGGAGGAGGCTTCCGAGCTGCTCAGGGAAGCAGGACTGTGGCCAGAATCCAGAGAAAGACCTGAGTCAGAATCGAACTCCTCTTCCAGCTGCGATGCCTGCACTGGGTTGAAGCCCTCTTCAATTGCCAAGTCCATCAAGCTGATCTCGTCCAGCATGGCTTCGTCCAGCAGACCGCCCAGCGGGTCCGGCAGCTCGGGGCCAGCCGTCTCGTTGACCGTGCCGTTCAGCTGCGGAGGGAAGAAGATGCCGCTCAAGTTGGTGGAGCCGAAGGGGGTGTTGAGGCCGGTGGAGTTGTCCGGCGCCAGCTGGAGCAGGGCCGAGCTGCCGGCCATGGAGGGGCTTTCGATCTCCGAGCTGAAGAGGGAGAAGTCCTGCGAGCAGCTGCCCAGCGAGGCCTGATGCAGGCTGACATTCTGATTGATGGGAGTGTTCGGAGCCAGGCTGTAGTTAGACGCCAGCAGGTCTCCGCTCGTGCCGTTGTACAGGGTTTCAGCAGTCGTGTTGTTCACTTCCATAGCCTGGAAGAGACGCGACAGCTCGGTGAAGGATCCGCGCTCGAGCCCTGCCTCTCCTCGGTGCCCTTCGCTCCTGGCCAGAGCCGGGACAACGCTTCCGGATCCCGGGACGGAGCTCGGCCCAGCATCAGCCGCCGGCTGCGGGAGGGCTGAGGCAGCAGCACCCCTACATGGGTGGCACAGCAGCACCCCAAGCCACCACCGGCCAGGAATCGGGCGCTCGGCACAGCCATCAAACCTAAACCCAAGCGGAAGAGCCCCACCACACCCCGAGCTCACCTGCATCTCCATGATGGACATGAGGTCCTGCCACTGCTGCTCCAGATCGAAGGGCGACTCGGTCTCGGCCAGGAGAGGGGACAGCAGGCTGGTCTGGATGCCCGCGGGCCTGCTCTCGCCGGGCACGGCTTCGCTCAGGGCGGAGACATCCGCAGCTGGAAACT